CAATGGCTCTTTCTTCTTAGAATATTTTTTCCCAATTTATTACATGAAAGATGATCATAAATCCTGTCAAGGAAGAGATACAAGCATATGAAAGCGCAAAAAAATATACGATGCACCCAACAGTAGTTTTCAATGATTTGGAGTTTATGAATATTCCACTTTTCTGTGGGGGAGGGATATAGTTGTGGAATCTGCCGCACTGCAATATTAGTTTATTGACTAGAAGGAGATATGACTTTGATTGTGCTGTTATTTAGGAGCTATTTATGACCTTTTTATTGTAATATTTTGATCTTGAATTATATGTTTTTTGCATTTGCTTTTTGTAGGATATTAAAGATAGGAGGATTCAGGAACTCACTATGGAGCTGGAGCATCAAGATTCAATTATGTATTTATATCGGGGCAGCTAATCGGGTTCTTGCTAATGTTGATGGCGCAAACAGAACTTTTTCAAGGAAAGTTGAAGTATTGTTAACTAGTGTAAAAGAATTCGAGAACAAGTTCAAAGACTTGCTCAAATCAATAGTCCGCTGTTAGCATGTGAGAACCTATGCTCTATATATTATGATGATTGTAGCCGGTTTTGAAGCTTGACTGTAGCTTAGTGGTAACTAAGTTAAATGCTCAGCATAAGTTTGCGCTTGTCACACAGATGATGAGGATCAAGCCGCACAAGGCTGAAACCTCCATAACTGGTCAATGTAAAGAAGTTAGGGTTGAGTATCTTGTGTTTCGGGCTTTGTTTCGTAACGAGCTTGTGACAAATAAATTGTTTATAATGGTATTAACCAGAATCTGAGGTTGAAGGTCATATTCTAGGACTGTAGGTGCTTGGCAGTCTTCTCACTGATTTTGAATTTCCATCTTCATGTACCTCAGTTGAATTTTTATTTTCCATGGTTCAGTCATTAGAGTCCTTAGAAGGTCGATGCATCAGTTTTATCATTTTTCGATAAAACGTTTTAGAAATCGAAATGCTTGATTTGATTAATTGATACTTGAAACAAGTTGTATCTACTGTGATAAAGAATAACGGTTTCTTGGCCGTTTGTCTCTGTGCTGCGTAGTCATTTGATAGATAACAATTTTGGAGATGACGTTTCTCCTTTCACCTCGCAGATGTAAATAGTGAATAAGGTGAGGTTTCATTCTAGTTGAACAGATTTGTTCTTGTTTCATTACTTATGTGATACAAATTATCTAAGCGTATCATGCTATAATGCTAAAGAGAACCCCAAACATTATTTTTTTTAGGTAAACAATTTTGCTCTTTTGTTGAATTCCATCGGTATTTTGCAGAAACAAAGTTCTCCAGCGCGTACTGACAGACATTGAGTTCACAGCTAAACTAATGTTTAAAGATTAAATTTCAACTAAATTTTTAGACATCAAATACTGCCCACAAAATTTTGTTAGCGACATAAGTAAAAAAAATTTGTAGATGTTGGCATCGAAACTTTTCAGGCAATAGAAAAGGGACAAAAAAAAAAAAAAAAAAGCTTTTAGCTTTCACACCCGCTTCCATTCCTTACTAAAACAGATTTTAATGGCTTTACACCATTATTAATATACAGTATCAACCATCTGCAGTTAAAGAAACCTGATCAGAAGTAATGTACATGACATCTCATAAACTTATTCAAAATCTTGCCTCCCTAAGGTAAACCTCAGATTCAATGAATGGGCAATGTTATACTATGGCTATGATTGGAAAGGTTTCAGACTTCAGATTCACTTTCCTGATATTGTCAACAAATAACTTTGGATGTTTGAGGACACAGCTCTCCCGTTGCCCTCAACGTTATTCATAAAATGGTAACTTTTCGGTCTCGTGCACATAGTTGGTTCTTGAGCCTACCAACTCCCGAGTAAGTTCTTCCATTGATTTTCTTGTCTTTGTCACCCTGTTAAAAATTGTTCAGAGACGCTGAGTCCAACATACAAAACATCAAACAACAGTTTAACATCTACTACAGTAAATGTAGTGTTCTAGTCAAAAACTCAATTTGGATCTAAGCATCCCCAATCAATCGATTGATTATTACTGGAAAGATACATTCCCCTTAAAGTTTCAAAGTCCTTCTTCTAATGTATCTTGGCACAGATGACATGCAAGAACGACCTGGCTGGTTTCTCCAGCTGATACCTTTGTAATGCTTTGGCCACCATTGTAACAAGCTAATAATGTCCAACCGATCTGCTCAACAAAATATACCTTATTCTTTTCCTTCTTTCCTTCAACTCTTGATTTACAGCTATCTCTCACATGTGAGAAACTGAAAGCTATTCCTGAGAACCTAGCAGCAAGTTCAAAATTTATACTCGAGTACGCAAATAATTAAAATAAGAGGTCCCACAGCATTGTTAACAGGCTAAGGATGTTTGTCACTCTAATGATACTGAAACCCTGTCACATTCATCTATAACAAGTATTTTTGAGGGGACCCTAGATTATAAATTTTTTAGTCAGTTTCAACAAGCAGAGGGAAAACAACCCGATTAAGAAACTCAATAATCTTAATATTTGAACTATGATGACAAACAAGGATTCAAAGACATCACAACTTCCATAGATAGAAGTGGAAAAAGAATCATCACCATGTACTGTATCCATGAGCATGACAACCAGAGGATGAGTAGCCTTTACAAATCTTGTAACAACCCATTTTCCAGACTTTTCCATCTTCCCAATATGTTGCTTTGCAACCTTCTCTGCACTTGGTCTTGGCTTCTTTTTTCAGGTCCAAGTGCACCCGTTTGAGTAGAGAAAACCCCTGCGTGTTACACACCCAAGTCTACGAGCAAGTTTCTCCCCATCAATCCCCAACGACACTTTGCATAATACGCACTACAAACCTACCCTCTGCTATCACTGTATAGAATTTCCTGGCATCATCCTTCCATTCAATTCCATACCAACATATGCTCTAGATTTTCACCACCTTCTAGTTCACCCACCGACTTTTCTATAACAGAGCTGTCTCCTACTGCAACTTCTGTGTCCAATTCCACTGTAAAACAAAACCATTTGACAATACCTTTAAAACACAAAAAATTCTGTCTTATACAATGCAGAAATTATATGGCATCCAAATTATTAAATTTATTAAGTAATATCAACTAGAGAATTAATCTTATCATATCATACAATTAGTGTTAAAGCTATTTTCTTTTGGAACAGAAGAGCCTTAAAACCTAAACTAAGATCTCTGCAATTCTCCAACACAAGGCCACGTACGTTCTAATAAGGTCAAGTGCACCCATTAGGCAAAAATGTTTCTCCATTATAGTGTGTGACGCTGATTGCATTTTAAGTGAGCGTTAGCCAATAGGGCAATAGCTGTACAAAGCACATAGAACAAATAAGCCATTAAAACCACCTTTAGAGGTATAATTTAATCTTAAATATGGAATCAAACCATGATTATCCAATTTGGATTCCCCCCATCCAATTGTTTAATATAGCAGGAACAAATTACCCTAAAAAGGTAAAACAAAAATGATGAATATGGATGGTAATGCAATTTTCATGTCCCAAAACCACATAATGAAAAAGCTAAGATTAAGCAGAAACCAAAACATGTCAACCACCACCTCTTGAAACTAGAAAGCATGGTTACTACGGGGGAAAACACTAGGTCAAACTTGAGAACCCACATACAGTAGTTTTTGCACCAATAAGCAAAGTCCCAAAATAAAACTGATATGAAACATTAAACAGCAGTCCCTCTGATATTAAACTCATATAGCCCTTGTGATAATCCAAAACAGAAAGAAATTAAAAGGAAAGCACTAATTCCAAAGTGTTCCACCTACGGATTCGTAACACACGAAGGTTAAATACAACAATGAAACTTAATAATGACCAGTGTGAATTTCTGATCAACACAGACTAAGGTCAAAACCCAGCAAACAAAAACCATCCACAACTAAACTCAATCTATGAATAAGTCACTAAAACAAAACTATCACCCATTCACAGAACATCACAGGTACATATATTCAATAGAATATCACATGCACAAAGCTTGAAACTCCTGGCAAAACCAAACCCACTTTTTCAAACACAATTCCTTATTAAAAATCTTACTGTCATTATTAAAGTTTGTAACTTTAATGCCAAAAATACAGCCTTTGTGCATACTTGAAGTAACAATTCATCCTCAGAAATTTCATTTCAGAAATGCTAGACAAAACTGCTCGTTGAATAAGAAGCATTAGATTCAACCTCATTCAAAAAGGAATAAAAAGATAGAATATTTAGAAGCAAATAAGAGATAAGAAAGGAGGATCTAAAGACTTACTGAATCAGAATCAAGGAGACTGGGAACACAAACCCACCAAAATCTGCAGGTTTCATGCGCATACAAAGACAAGAAGTTTGAGGGTCCAAGTGAAATGACAAGTTTCGCCGTCCAGTTGAACTTCAAACACACACATACACTACTTCACTTACTCTTACGTATATGTGCTTAGACTCAAGTGTTTATCACTTTCATCACCACAAATGATTATATGTAATATTAAAATTAAACTTTTTTTTAGTTTACTATTTTTTAATTATGATGAAAATTTTTAATAAATAAATCAAAATTCAAAAGTGAGTATTTGAATACTTATTTTTAATTATTAAATTTATAAAATAAATCATGGACGTTTATATTTAATCTGCACATAAATTATTTCAAAATATTTGCATTGGTAAATGATTTACGACGTATGTTTTAATAGGATATACGAAGGTTATATAAATATTAGTATGGATATACTTTTTTATTTATTTATTTTATCTTCTTGAAAATAATTTTAATTGATGTAAAATATAAATTGACTCTCAATTTATCTATTATGGTAATATTATTTTCTTGATCACCCTTAATCAGCCAGCAAAAGCTATACTCCTTTAAACGCTGAGTTGGCAACAACTTAGTGTTGATACGCAGAGAGTGCAGCTTTCAAGGAGTGTAGCAAATTATTCCTCACCCAGGCCCAATTTAGTTGTACTTTCAGTTTCCAGTTTCCACTTTCCAGTTTCCAGTTCCCAACTCTCTCTCTCTCTCTCAAACTCAAACTGAAGACTTGTTCTGAACCCAATCACTCAGTTTCTGTCTCAACGCTGGATTTGGACTTGGATCTGCACTTTACCTAACAAGTGAGCCATTTTACGTTTTCCATTTCCAATTTTCAATTTTATTCTTCTATTTTTGTCACCATAAATTTCTGTTAAATTTCATATCTTTGTTTAGTTGATAGTCATAGAAGGTGCTGAGCTCCAAACTGATACTCTAGGAGAATATATGAGAATTTTGGGAGACTAATCTAGGATATGTTAAGAACAAAAATCTATGGAAAGTTTTCTTCTTTTTCAATTATTGTTATATTCATATTTCTTTTGTTAAATGGGGTTTTGGGTTGTTTTCTAATCTTGTGTATATATGTGAGTAGAATTTTGTTGAGGGTTAGTTGTGTTTTCTGGCAGTGGATGAAAACCCTTCTGCGGGAGAGAATGGGGAAATGATAGAGAATTCTGATGGGAAAGAGGTAGTTACAGCCGAAGGAAGTTTGGGTGTGGAACCATATGTGGGTATGGAGTTTGAATCTGAGGAGTCCGCGAAGGTGTTTTATGATGCGTATGCCACACGATTGGGGTTCATTATGCGTGTTGATGCGTTTCGCCGATCAATGCGTGATGGCAAGGTAGTTTGGCGTCGACTTGTGTGTAATAAAGAGGGTTTTCGAAAGTTAAGGCCTAGAAGAAGTGAGAATAGGAAGCCTCGAGCTATTACCAGAGAAGGCTGTAAAGCGATGATCGTAGTGAAGAAAGAAAAATCAGGGAAATGGGTTGTAACAAGATTTGTAAAGGAGCATAACCACCCATTGGTCACTATACCTGTCAATGGTCGTCGGAGTGTGCTTCTATCTCAAACTCCGGTGAGTGTTCTTGCAAGTCTTAACTTTACATCACTGTATTTTAGGGTTGAATTTTTTAAATAAGACTGATCTCAAATTTAGGTTTCTTTGCAAACATCTGGATGCATTATGCTTATAAATTAGTGTGTTTTTTGTTTTTGTTATTTCCATTATGCAATTTTTTCCCGGTGTATGGATATGTTTATCAAATTCTTGGTATGAAGTTTATACTATTATACTCATTGGAAAAGTTAGTTCTTATAAGATGCTCTTCTGATAGAAAGTAGTAGTTTGCTGGATCTGCCTGTGCTAAGAAAGGTCACCATCTGTTTGTTTGTTGCTATTTTGATCTTTTGCTAAAGTTCAATATTTTTTTGTTTTAATTTTTGCTTGGAAACAAAGATTCTCTATAAAAATATAAAGTATACATGAATGGACAAGCTGTCCCGAAAACCCAAAGGTACTAAAATCTATACAAAATGAAAAACATATCTCTTATTCCAAAATCTTAAATGCTAAAAATAAAAATCCTGTTTCAAATTTGCGCAAAAATGTTCCTTTGCTAGTTAAGTGAATCAAATGTGCTAAATTTCAAAATTTTCCTTTGGCAAAACATCTTGCTAGTTATATTTGTTTCTTTACATCCCAAATAATTAAAACTAGTGTATACAATATTTCCTTGAGTCTCTTTTTTGTGTTAGAACTGAAAAAAATCTGAGTTACTATCCTGTTCAAGCCTCTTCGGCATGAAACGGGATGTTTCGTGTTGAAAATAATTCTGATGTTCTGATATCCCATTCTATCTTTCGTATGCCATCAAAAAATCAGCTTTGAAGATGATTTTACAGAATTTCTCATCTGAGACTGGTCAAACTGATTTCTCATGTATAAGCAAAATCTATCACAGTTGAAAGAGGTATTTCACATTAAAGTTAATTTTTGAAGATCTGCAATCTTAAATAGACCAATTTTTTTTTTTTTTCTTTTAATTCAATGTGCGAGTTTGAAAAATTTTTACTGTTGACTGTCTCACTTGAGATTGGATGGTGCTTTTATAGATTTGTCATGTATGAGCAAAACATGAAATGTCACCATATCCTTCATACATGATCTCAAATTGCAGGGCCACGTAACTTGCAGACTTTATTTTGGTGTTCCTTTTGGGAATTGTATGTTTTGCAACTATGTACTGCCTTTTATGTGATGAGTTTGTTTTTTCATATGTCAATTCAGTCTCGTTGAGGCTAAAAGAGAAATCACTTCTAATAAATGCCTGTCTAGATTGCTTATTGACTTGTCAAATTATTTATATAAATTGTTCAATCATAAAATGTTTATTACTAAAGTGAGAACTTTTCATCTTCTAAAGTTATCAGTAAAATTGACCATGCTTCTTTTACTTTTCTCTTTGGGATTTTCATTTTGCAGGACGAGAAAGATATAAAGATACGAGAGTTGACTGCTGAGTTACAGCGGGAACGGAAGCGATCTGCAGCTTACCAAGAGCAGCTTGAAATGGTTTTGAGAGATATGGAGGATCATTCCCATCACCTTTCAAGGAACATTGATGACATAGTTGAAAGTGTGAAGGAAATAGAGACAAAGCGGGTGGCAGTTTCTCACTGCTAGGGATTGTAAATTTCTCTGTGCAATTTCTTTCATACGCTCCTGTTTAATCTGTAGAGAGTGAAGTGTACCAGTGGCATTTTCTTTTCTTTTCTTTTAGGGGTTGCCCGAGCTTGTAGGTTAAGCCGACTTATTCTATAGGTGCTTGTGGAAAAAAATTAAGAAAAATCCTAGCCTAGAATGTGTTATGACTTCCCTTTTCATATTACTGCTTCAAAACTAAGAACAATAGGAAATTGCAACTAAGGTTGTGATGCAAAATGAGGAGATAACTTTTTCATGCTTAAAGAAGCGTCGTCTCAAGAGATGGGCAAGTAAAGAACCTCCTTAGTATGAATTAGTGGATGTAAACAGTAAAGTACATATAGATTAGATCACATTGATAACAATCTCGTTTGCAAATAAACTCTTAACTATGCCATGCCTATTGCCAAGAGTGAGCTTGAACTCTCAAGGTCCTCTAGTGCTTTTCTTTGGAAATTTATGGTCATGGTGTGAGAGCAGCGAAGATCATCTTAGCATTTCTTGGTGGGATTTTTAGCTTGTGTTGATTTCTTGCAGTTGCAAGTTCCTGACTGAAACCGTAGAGAAAAAACTTACATAAATGATCACCCAACAAAAGAAAGATGTATGTAGATGTAGTTATCAAATATTAATTAGCATTTTCTTCTTCGTGGTTACATACCTTGAGGGTCATGGCTAGGCTAGTTAACAGACAGAAAGCAAATGAAACAGCTTCAAAGACTACGAGCCGCTGTGCCATGGTTGAGTTTTCTTTACTCTTGTTGGTATATCTTGATAAATAGAAAGCAGCGTTAATAGTTGAGTATGTTATTATGGAAATGGTTAAGCAATATATAGAAAAACAAACCTTTATGCTTTGTTACATTATTGTCAAAATTGTTGCTGGAGATTTGGAAGATTTTCTTTGGATTTTAAGCATAACAAAAGAGAAAGAATAAAGGGTTGATGGAGCTTTATGTTAGCCTACTATAAACGCATAAAGCTAAATATCATAAAATGGAATATTCTCATTGTACTTCATAGTTCTCTTTAGTTTTGTACTTTAATGAAGGTTTTAAAACCCGGTCCGGTTCGATCGGAAAACGGTGGCTTAGGCGAACCGGTCAGGGTTAAAAACTGAGAATGAAAATTAACCTATTTTAACTCACGGTTGGACCGGTTTTACTGTAGCGACCCACCGATCCAACTGGTTTTGTCAACTCAAATTCCTAAGTTCTAAGATTCAAACCTTTTTTACAATTTTCAATTAAAGACATGAGGCTAATCAACCCAAAAAAATAATACTAATCAACGAAGCCACAAGAAGAAGAGGAGAAAAAACAAGTGAGAGGAGTTGAAACCCTAGGCCGTTGCTGCTGCGGTGGCGATGGTGGTGGAGAATGGTGGAGGTGGATATAACAGTGGCGGCACACAGCTAATAAGAGAGACGAAAATAAGGATTTTGTCAAAAAGGAAGAGTGAATGTGTTTGTGTGTTTTGGTGTAGAAGGCATGCACCTTTTGATTAGAGGAAAGCTGAAGAATCCGAAGAGCTTTAATAATTAAAACAGAAGAAATGAAAGAGTAAAGAACAACAAAGAGAGTTGGAGAAAGAAGTTCTTGGAGCTTTCTCTCTTTAATCTACTCTACTCTTCTTCGTTCCTGCAATTTAAGATAGAGGAGATTGAAAATAAATAATTTAATTTAATAAATAAAGATATTGCATTTAATGAGCTTTCATTGGAAATAAAAAACAAATATTAAATGTAAAAAGATGAAGAGTGCGCTGTATTGTATTTAATGAAAAACAAATAAAAAGTTGTTTGTTGGTGACTTGGTGGACACGTTTCCTCATATGAGAGGTGAGCTAATGAGATAAAGAAGAAGTAGACAGAAAAATTGATTGCTCTCACGCTCTGTTTTAAACCGGACTGGACCGGTGGATCGGATCAGAACCTAGCAACTTCTCCGATCCGATTCAAGTCTTAAAGGGTTTTTGTAATATTTCAAAATTATAAGGGTTTATTTATAATTTTATAAGAGTGTTTTAGAGATATGTAAAAGTTTAAGGATTAATTGGTCATTTTTTGGGGTATTTTTGAAATAAATAAAAATTTTAAGGATTAATTAAACTCTTTTAGGAGAATTTTTGTAATATATTAAAATTTGAGGGATTAATATGTCTTTTTTTTAAAATAAAATTGTCACTGACGTCATCGGTCCAACCGGTTGGACCAATTGACTCATGACCTGTACAGTAAAACTGGTTGCCTTCCAGTCCGAGTTTTAAAAAAATGATTGATTGGGTGATGAGATCAAGAAAATGATGTCATCGGTCTGATCTGAACCGGTTTAACTGGTTAACCCGAGACCTGATCATCTATCCGGGTCACTGACCAGGTCAGTTTTTCAAGCATCTCTTTATGTGATCCATTTAATTTAGAGTAAATGTGGTAAATATTGAATAATTTGGGTTAAAGTCAGTTTTCTTTAGTTTTCTAATATCTCAGGTTCGGACCCATTCGAATTCACATTTAAGCTTCACAAAAATGTACTTCCATTTAATTAAAGAGAAATGCTAGTCTTACAAAGATACATACAAAGAGGGACATATAAAAACAAATCCTACCCTTAATCTTCATGATTATCTTTTTCTCTATCTCTTTTTCCCTTCTTTTAAGGACTGATTCATCTTTGTATACCCCTCTTTGTATGCATCTTTGTAAGTGTAGCATTCCTCTTAATTAAAAGGACTCCGAGCCTTATGAATTGAATTTAGGCTTAGTCTTGAAGGATGTGGGATGAGAGAAACTCACCACCTTGTAGACTTTGTGAGGTTAGTGAGTCTATTATCATAACAATAATGCTACGGACACCGAGATTTTTGCACCGAAATATTGTACCGGTCTACGTGTAACACGCCTCTGATTTTTTTAACAATTTTTTTCAAGTGAACGGCCGTCCATCAAATTTGGACGGCCGTTCACTCACATGGACGCCGGTCCATATTATATGGACGGAGGTCCATATACCAGGGATGGGCGTCCCCATTTAATGGACGCCCGTCCATAAGTAAAATGAAATAATTTTTTTTTATAAAAATTAGGGACGGCCGTTCATCCGTTATGGACGGCCATCCCTTAATTTTGGACGGGCGTCCACAAATAAGGGACACTCGTCCAAACCAAAATATGAAAAAAAAAAAATTAGGGACGGCTGTCTATAAATTTTGGACGGCCGTCCCTTACGTTTGGGAAAGGCGTCCATTAGGAATGGACGACCGTCCCTTAAGTTTGGATGGGCGTCCATTCCTAATGGACACCCGTCCATACTTTTAAAAAAAAAAACACCTTCTTCGCTCTTTTCTTCTTCTTCTTCTTCGCTCCACTCCATCCCTGTAACACCTCAAATCCATTTTGCAGCAATCCTAATCCTCCCACTGAATTACAGCATAAACAAAACAAAAATAACCTTTAGATTAGAATCAGAAGAAATAATATCCCAAAATTAAATAATGAAGTTAGAAGCAAACCATCCTTAGCATTCGTTCCATTGGTAAGTTCCCCACTAAGAGTATAAACTTCCATTGCATTAATGAGAGGAGGAAGAGTGGAGTCATCATCAGCCTGGAGGGAAATTTGGTTGCTAGCGGAAGCAATTCTCAAAATGGGATTATTCTGTTTTGTACTCAGATTAGAGAAGGAAAATACATTTTCTTGTATGGAGGAGATGATCTAGAATGGATACGTAAATTCACAAACGCAGCACGCACAGTTGCAATTGTTGTACGCATCCCTCTGGAGATGGTGTATGTGGGGAAGAGCACCAAGAGGGAACAAGTGCGACGAATCATTGCAAGCATCCAAATTGAAAAGCTAAGTCAGGCGTGGCCAGACCTCCCCATGGTATGGTTCTTTTGGACATGTCTCGAGAGCATGCTATTCTCCAAGATTCAACTGGGCAGAGCCGATGACCACGACCCCATGATGCAAGAAATCAAGAAACTGTTGAGCTATGATAGAGACGGCGGATGGGCTGTGCTAAGCAAAGGCTCCCAGGTAGTAGGGAAGAAGAAGAAGAAGAAAAGAGCGAAGAAGAAGAAGAAGAAAAGAGCAAAGGTGTTTTTTTTTTTTAAAAGTATGGACGGGCGTCCAATCCTAATGGACGCCCGTCCCAAACGTAAGGGACGGCCGTCCAAAATTTATGGACGGCCGTCCCTAATTTTTTATTTTTTTATTTTCATATTTTGGTTTGGACAGGCATCCCTTATTTGCGGACGCCCGTCCAAAATTAAGGGACGGCTGTCCATAACGGATGAACGGCCGTCCCTAATTTTTATAAAAAAAATTTATTTCACTTTACTTATGGTAAATGGGGACGCCCGTCCCTAGTATATGGACTCCCGTCCATATAATATAGACGGACGTCCATGTGAGTGAACGGTCGTCCAAATTTGATGGACGACCGTTCACTCAAAAAAAATTGTTAAAAAAATCAGAGACGTGTTACACGTAAACCGGTACAATATTTCGGTGTAAAAACCCCGATGTCCGTAGCATTATTGTTATCATAATTGTATCTCATGTCTAATTAAGTAGATGTTGTCCGATTTAGGTTAAACAAGCATGGGTTTACTTGTGGATTTTACACGAGTGTTTTTCCCTCAAAATGTATTTATTTGGTTATGAAGACCCAACCCAAAATGCGTCTACTCAATTAAAAAGACCCAAACCTTATGAATCAAGGCAACAATTTTCATATACAAAGAAATTAAGTTGTTGGAGAAGATGTTTTTGATGAAAGCAAGAGCATAATGTTTCTTTCTTTACCCGTATGCAGGACAAAATTTTGTGGTTACAGCAACTTGCATAAGCGGAAGGCTAAAGACAAGGAAGACAATCATTCTTGCAAGGAACCCTTTTACTGAATCAACCAAATTGATTGTATCATAAGACATCAACTTCCAGGGTTGACAAAATTATTCTCAGTAACGGGTTAATGTCAGAGCTGCAAAATTAGATTGAGTCCCTTCAGAATTCAACACACTGATACCTCTGTCTTATGTGCTATAGCATTTCTAAAGCTAATCTAGCTATTTGAAACGAATATGAGTTACAACTTTGGCTCAAAAGCTGTATTGTCATCTCATCAATCAACAGAAATTGCTCAGAAATTATACTACAATGACTACAAACACAATTCCTAGTTTGAAGATAAGACCAATCAAATCAGTTGCAACGATGCTGTAAATTTGATATTTTAACAAAGTTGAAATAAAAAGTACATGTCAGAATCAAAGGAGTGACTAATAACATAAGAATTTGCTGATAGGGAGTGATTTATTCGACAGCAAAAGAAAGAATCTAATGCTATAGGCTCTCAAGTTTGCACCTGTCATAAAAAAGTATTTGCATTTCAACAGAAGGGGCTTAACAGAGGAAACCTGAGTGATGGTAGAAATTAAACAAAGCAGAATGATGAAGTTCAACAGCTTAATAAAGCCACAAATCTTCACGAAAATGGTAGAGATTCCGACTGAAGCAGTCAATCACATCGAATACCTAATAAATGAGAAGCTTAAGAGTTCAGATGACAAATGCAAAAAGGTAATCGACTTGCTGTATTTGACATCAAGAAAGCTAATTCAATCAAGTTGAATTAGCCAATTAAGTGTCTAATAGAAGTCTTGGTAGATATTTTAACAAAATCCTCTATCATCAATGCATATATCAGATTCAGCGTAGCATTTGATAAGGCAGTTTTAACAGAATCTTATAAGCAATAAACCAAATAGAAAGCTAAAATGTATTTCCAACCCAAAGACAAGACAGATTGAACCTTATCAGTTGGGCTATTGATTCATATCTGCAGGCTTATGCTTTTCCCTTACACCAGAAGACCAATACTGCAAGTAACCACAATCTATATAGTTTAAGCAAATCTCTCCACTTGATTAAGGCAAACACCAACCGAATTTAGAGATGGAAGTTCAGATAAGAGATAACCAAGCACCCATGCTGAGCTAAGAGAGTTCATAAATTCAAAACAAAAAAGAATAAGCAAGTATGAAAACAAGGGATATAACACAACCAGAAGGCCAATACTGCAAGTCACCACAACCATATAGTTTAAGCAAATATCTCCAGTTTATGAAGGCAAACGCCAACCAAATTTAGAGATGGAAGTTCAGATTAGAGATAACCAAGCATCCAAACTGAGCTAAGAGAGTTCATAATTTTAAGACAAAAATGAAAACAAGGGATATAGCCTTTGAGTACAATCAGCAAAATATTATTAAAAATGAAAAAGAAAAGACCATCAAAATTTCAATTGTATTGAGGCAGCTAGACTAGCTATCAATCTTTATATTACAATTACAAAATCCCACAGAGATAAACTTACACAACATAAATAAAAAACCTTTCTAGTGCAAAAAAGCATAAACAACAGTGGAAATATAAACAATAAGAGCAGAAGAAACCAAAACAAACAAAGCAGAAACAGCATGAATGGTAGATTTACTCCCACAACCCAATGTCCCCAACCGGATCTGAATAACATTAACAATTGAAAGCATCAGAAACAAGCAACCCATCACCGACCCAGTTGCTGAAGCCATCATCCCAAACCTCAAAACCTTTAGATTAATGTGGGCTCTAAAGGCTTCATCCACATTCTTACTATTGATCAAGTTAAGAGCCAGTTTCAAACCTTGAGCCACTAAAGACGAGAAGAGAAAGAAGCTGAAGGACACAACCTCAAACACTAGAAGATTTCTGGCAACCTCTATGCTCGCATCGCATGCTGACGTGGTCTCCAGGCTCTGTTGGCCCGGCGTTGTCAGTGAAAGCCCCACAAACACAGCGATCGTAAAGAGAGAGTTGACGTTGACAATCCCATCCAAAGCCGTGACGTGGACGCTTGTGGTTGATGAAGAATTGAAACTGGTTCTTCTGTTTGCGCTTCCCGGGAAATCTTTTGGGGATCTAAATAAAAGAAATCAAAACAATGAAACCAAAGTAAGAAAAATAGAATAAAAAAGATTATTAAATATTTGATAGGAAACTGAAAAAAGAAAATGAAGGGATGAGTACTCGTCCATGAGCTGTAGATGGGAATTGAGTTGAAGGAGAAATGGAGAGGGTTTGATGAATTGGCTTGCAAAAGAAAGAGAGGGGATTCGTTGCTTTTTATTGATTAATTTGCTTTAAGGATAAGAAGTGGATTAAAGAAACAACGTGAAAGCAAGGGGATTTGGATTTGGCCAAGACACGAATAACAGATGGGATTTGTTTCAAAGAAGACCGATGTCTTAGGTAAGATTCAGCTTTTGATTCATCTTTGTCTGAAAGGACCATCAACCAAAAATACAGTTTTGGTTTTGGGGATTTTTTCTTTTTTGGTTGTTCCTGAATGTAAAATATTATGGTAGTCCATTGATATCTAAAAGTGACACTTCAACCCATATTACTTAAAAACGCATTGATGAGGACTAAAGCTATAAAAAGGACTCCACTATAGAAAAAAAACATGTCTTTGATTTCTTTACCCGACAATCAGTCAATATATTTCCTTGTGTTTTGTTGTTTTGTGACTCTGCTTTTAAGTTTTTTATTCCTTAAACTTTATAATTTAAATAATTTTTAGATATAATGTTAAAAGTTAAACTTTATAATTTAAATAATTTTCTATAGACTAATTTCTATGTCACATTATTAACTATGAGCTATTCCTTATAGCACATTAAATCTTACTTATAAATTAGGTTAATGATGTTATTTTTAACTACTATTCCCTATACTATATTAACTATACATAATATATATATATACCTCAAATTCAAAACAATAGAAAAAGAAAATAAATAATGTCTCAATAAATTAATAATTTATTAATTTATACGATTAAATAATATATTGATTAATTAATAATTTTTCATGCTCTTAAGAATATTAATTTATGGAAGTTTAATTATACTTGTTATCGATTAATATAATTTTTTTTATATACTTTTGTTGATAATTTTAAACTACATATTTAAGCTAGCCTAATCTGATGTGCAATTCTGTCTCCGTTTCTAATACCATAAACTTTCTAGTATAAAGTCTATTATTGATGTGATGTGTGCACTGCAAACTAATGGCTCAAAATGTTCACTTATAAATGTTAGTGGACCAAAGTGTAATATACGAAAAGCTGAAGGATATAATTTACCCCTTGATTTCTAGAATACCCTTGACAAGTAACCCAATAACATATGTCTTAGTTTTTATTTTATAACCAGATTCAACTTAAAGTGATTTTGATGGGAAAAAGGTTTAAAAAGTTGAACAAATTTAGTGATAGTTACAACTCACAAAGAAGATGGTGGTTGGAATAAGGCATAAACGATTATAATGAGAAAACTGATTTAACACTTTCTGGCTCTAATGAAACATGTGGATCCATTTATAATTTACTCATTTTCAAAGGGAGCCGTTAAACTTCATCATTACCTTATTACTTTAGTTTATCATCTGGTATGGACGACATTGATTCTGAAACAGAAATGATACGAGATCCACATAAAAAATATGACTTGTCTGGACATTGATTCTCAGGTCACCCAATTAACAAAATAACCATCCTGGGTGCTGATTCTAAAGTCACAGAACCAACAAAATAAGTATTTCTGAATGCTGAACCTGAAAGAGAAGTGAAATAAAACGAGTCAAGTTAGAATCCCATACTGTTAAGCAGCAACTTGGCCACCTAGGAAGGCCCCTACACGAGAGTCAAGTTTTTTATTTTATTTTATTTTTTATCAGAAGTGTCCAAGTCAGCTTTCATACATCCAATTAATCCCTAAAGACTCTGAAACTATCTGCCGAGTAAAAGCTCTAATGACTAAGGGTATTATTAGCAACTATGATGACTTAAATTCGGAAAACCATGTTAGATGCTCCCAACCAGGTAAAAGTTTTAGTGGTTAAACGTATAAGCAACCATAGAGACTTGAACTTGGAAGACTATGTTAAATCCTCCTCTTACTCTTTTAACATCAAGATGACTCGAACTTGAGAGATCATGTTAGATCCTCCTTTTATTTTTTTACCACCAGACCACCCAGCAGTGATTTAGAGTCAAGATTCCTAAAGTCACCCAACCAAAAAAATGGGTCATCGTAGACGTCGATCTTAAAAGAGGAGTATATTGTAAGGACTCCGATAATTAGTTGAGGTGTGTACAAGCTGGTTCGGACACCCCGATCACTAATAAAGATAAAATTGTACCTAGAAAATTTGCATTTGAATGGGACTGAAAAAGCATTTGACTACCTATTAGTAGGAGGAAAGAATGGAAGGAATACAAGGTAATTTTGTAACCTAAAACCATGAACAAACTAGTTTCTTCATTGGTCATGATCCTCAGCTTCAATTTCACCAACATTCTCAATTATGTTCTGAATACTTTGTTAAGGTGATTGGTATGCTGCTCTATATCATGCAAAACCATTTCCAGTTGCTCACTGCACTCTGCCAACTGTTGATTTGCACGATGAAGCTCTGCAGATAACTCCCGAATTTTCTTATCTTTTTCGTCCTACACAGAAAATTCATATTATAAACATGGGGTTTTCTTGATACCGTATGTATACAGCTTTGAAAGATGACTTAAAAAAATACAATATGAATGACTGCTTCATTTAACTATTCAGAAAAAGCAAAGGTATCCCAAGAAATTTCTTGAATGCTCCAACTGCATCAATAGTTACTGTTATTTTAAATCATTGGTTGCGAAAAACACATCACACTTGACAATCAAAACAAGATATCCTAATGACATGAGCTTGAAAAAAACAGCTGCAATTCCAGTGCCAAAGGCTCTTCAGTCAAATGTGTCTCCTCTTGCTAGTAAGGGAAAATAGTAGACATTCCCTACAGTTCAAGACATATTTTCCACCAAACCAGCGGAAAAGAAAAGCAACTCAAAGTAATCCCTATGATAAGATTGGTAAAAACATATACTTCCAGGGTAAACATTTCCATGTAAAAAAAGAGAAAATATTCATCATTTCTCTGCTTCAGAAACAATAACAGCCAGAGGTCTTTTACAATATTTACTACAGTTTTATCAAACAAAACCAGCTGATGTCAAAAGTTCTCGAAGAAAATAAGCACTAACCAAGCATGACACCATGATCATGTTCTTGCAATAATCAACAAAGTCAAAATCAAGTGTCTGATTAGAATATTTTAGGAACATCAAGTTAGGCAGACAAAAACTACAAGATCTCAACAAAACTTGCAGATCCGTCAGATTTTATTCACTTCCTAAAAGATAATTTGCAATCCATCAGACTTAATCTAATGCAGCATTACCATCTGTTCAAGCAGTTACAGAAAGTAGAGATTGTCATAGGTAATATGCACACAGAAAAAAGGGGGCGTAACACGTTATCTGATCATTTATGGCACCGGCAGCAGGCTTAAGACATTTATGCAGTACTTTATTCTTTTGGAGGCTTAAATACCAAGAAAGGACATTAAAGACTAGAAACAGAGAGATTGAAGAAAGCAGAATACAGACAGTGCAAAAGCGATGATGCTGTAGGACGAAGTATACAATGCAGAATTTGAACCTCACAGAAAGTTCAGCCAAGTCCAATAATAATGTTTAAACTGTTAATTACTTATTCATTCATTTACTGCACCTCAATCGATATGAGTTAATCACCGACAAACTTCCCTCAAGCCTTTCAGAGGTACCAACTGAATGGTACTAACTCATCATGGAGTAAATATTTATAAATTGCGGTGAAACAAAGACGCTGGATAATGCACAAATATATTTTAGTTTTCTCTTAAACAAAGAGAGAAATTAAACCTAGCAACCAGTGGCGGATCCAGAAATTTCTGTTAGGGTGAGCCAAAATAAAAACTAATTACACATTAATATTTTTGCCCATTAATATTTCTGTTAGGGTTGACCAAAATGTAGAAATTGTATATATTAATATATATATATTTTTTTTAAATTTGAGGGCTCAACTAGAGTAGCATCCGCCCTTGCTAGCAACTAACAGAAGATATTGATATAAAAAACATTGTTCCTCAAAACTTTTTTGTTTCCTATAAAATCATTAACTCATATATCTTCCATACAATAATGCTTATTAGCATTTGCTAACATCAAATACAGACGGTCAAAGAGCTAGTAAATTAGAACAAAATTTAAAGAATGATGCTACCAATTGACATAAATTATATGTACTAACATGTTTGGCCTTCCAAAGACAACATGAGTAACTAACCAGTGGTTGGGCCTGAACTGTACACTGACGACCCTTGCCAGAAGGAATTCCCAAAGGATGACTATACTCTGTTTCAAGTTTCATAACAACCCATTTCCCTGACTTCATCTTTCTCACCATAAGCATTGCCTGGTAACCTCCCTTGGCTTCCTTACCTCGAGTCTTTTAGTCTTCTTGTTATTTACACGAAACCCTTCTTTATTACAAAGAAACCTCCGACTGATAATTGACCCAGCACGACTAGAACGATGACAATTACCAACCCAGATAATAAATCCCACATGCTTAGCATATGTATCATAGTACACCATAGCAGCCTCTTCAGATTCAAACTCCATTCCTACATACAGCTCCAAACTCACATTTCTTTCATTCACAATCAACTGTCTTCCATCATAAAACTCTTATCATTTCTCCACCTTCAGTCATACAAATGTCTCTTCTAACTGTGCTCCCTATCATCTTGCCATCTATCTCAGCATCAGTCTCCAATTCAGCAAAATCTGAAATTACTCCATAATCCACATTCACAAAAGCAGTAAAATTCATTGTTCCACAAAAATACGAAGTTAGTCATATACTCATATCCCATCCCAATAAAAAATCACAAAAGTAATAATAATAATAATAATAATAATAATAAGAACTACACAAAAATGAACAAGCAGTCGATTAAAGAAAAAAAAAAAACAGCCATAAGCTCCCAACAATGAAAAGCTCAAAACGCCCTCCCAATTTCAATGAATGAAGAAAAAAGAAGAATCTCAAAACTCCTGTCATTGCTAAAAGTCACAGTCTATCCCACCATAAATGGATATCTTCCTATCCTTTAACGTGAAATAACTTTCTATTCCTCTCAATCCTTCAAAAACACAATTTTATTTTTAAACTGATTTCCTCATTCCTTTTTCTCCGTTCCACCCCATCAAGGGCCACTCTATCACTAGGCTATTCAGAAATTATGTCTTTACTTCACTTCTAATATCTATACCCAAAAACTTTTCTGGCAACTACTTCTCTAAACTCACAAAAATGTGCGCTTAAATTCACAAATATTATAAGTTTGTGAGGATTTCCAATTTTCATCAAAAACCCATTTCTCACTAACCAGATTACACACAATGAACAACTTGTACATCAAAATTAAACAATCTACCAAATATTATAACAAACTATAGCATTGGTTCACTGTTTACTCAATGTTTATAAACTAATACTTATCAAAATTACAAAAGAAAAAGAAAAAACAGAGAAATAAGAGGGGTTTGGGTATCCATTAAAATAACTTGCTTACTGGGTTTATAATGCTCTGATCTCTGCGTTGGTTGGTTGATTGTGAATTCGTTCTCAAAATGTTTAACAAACTTTTCTGGGCTCAGCTTCTTCACTTCTGATCAAGTGTTACGTGGGGCCAATCTTCCTGCCATTCTTACACTTGTCCACTCTCACCTCTCTGAAAATTCGTGGACGTTTTTAGTATTATATATATATTTCTCTTTTAGAAATAATTACAAAATTTGTAAAAAAACTTGATACAATTTGTTTCATTTGTGCTCATTCTTAAGCTTATAAGACTAAATTTTGTTGATATTTTTATTAGACACTTTAATTAAGCTATATATTTTTGGGAAAATGTTAGACAATATTATACTTTATTGGTCTTTGTTATTCATGATAAATTTTAATTCTCATAATATTATACTAATATAAATCATTCCCTCGTCTTCCAAATTTCAATGTATCCCTACACATTGATTCTTCTCAACACTGACCAAAAGAAAATTCACATTGTTTAGAAATAAAATTGATAGTTGTATTTCACCAATAATCTCCACAAGAACAAGCCCCATTTTCAAAGTGGTGGAACCTATTCCGATCCCTCACAACAATTTTTCTCTCAGTGATCTTAGCAATGAGCTTTATCATTGTGTGGCAATCATTGCATACTCTCAAGTTCTTCACAACCCTTAATGGAGTGTATGGTTTTGTTGAGATTAAACCATAGCATATTGCAAGCCTCTCACTGTGTATTGCCAAAGCCCATTCTTTTTCCCTGTCTTCAATATCATGCAATACCACTTCTGTTGATGGAGAATACCCTTTTAATTTTAACATTTGGTTCAACTCCTCTAACTTTTTGTAGATTTTTTCCCTTTGAGGGTGCCTTATGGCTCCTAAAATGAATTCATGAATCTCATTATTCACTTCTATGGAACTGCAGCCGGGTTCCTTTTGGATTCCCGCCTCCTTCATCTTTACCCTCATTTGTGCAGCTTCTTTCCACTTCCCTGTTGAAGCATATGCATTTGATAGAAGAATATAAGTTCCTGAATCTGCATTTCCGCAATCCAGCAGTGTTTTGGCAATCTGCTCGCCCAATTGAAGGTTTCCATGGATTTTACATATGGTCTCAACTGTAGCCGCAGCTATCCACACAACCTCGCACTAGATTGTTGAATTCCCAGATTAATATTTTCGAGGACGTGCTTATCAAGTGGAGTGCTTGTAAATACAAGTTATAATATATATATATGTATCATAATATAGAGATCATCCTTCTATATATTTATCTGATATTGTGAACACACTCAGCTGAGGCAGGAACTATTCATGCTCTTGGTGTTTAAAACATATGTCATTTTGTCATGATTGGCAATTTGATGGTCGTGTATGCTAGTGACAATTGTGTGCCTTTATTAAAATGGTAATGTTATCTATTTATGTAGGAGCTGGCTGGTAGAAACCTTCTGCTTCCGATACTTATCACTGTTATTTGCACATAGTAATATCCGTTTGTGTTTTTAGCCCTACCGACCTCATGTAACTATAAATTGTAGATAACGCACTTGATAGAGATAAAAATTCAATACAATATATGGTAGATGCCATTTTTATTTCTTGGACTAATAGTAGAACGTGCCATCAGGAGAATTAAGCTTACATATGTGCTCTGTTGGAATGGTCCATGCACGTTCAGTCGGTAATTATAAGGTGAAGTAGATGCCCATATTTGATGAAGTTGGTTGGAATTAGTGAGCTCACCGCATCAGAGAAAAACTGAAAAAGTAGTACATCAGATATTTACTATTTAGTAGCCTTCTCCTTGAGGACTTTAGGTGGATAAAACTCCATTGATAAATCATATGCAACTGTAGGCTACCCCTGACCCTGAGGGTAGACATCTAATTTGAGAAGAGCTGCATCAAGTCTGAGAAAAGAGTAGTCTTTGAACTCCATGGGTGGCCAAGAAATGGGAGGCTCAAGCAGAAGATCACACTATCATGTTCTCTTAAATTCAATGCATGATTTGCACTATAATGTATGATCCTTAAATTTAACGTATGTGAGTGTGGTTGTAAAGGTGGATTCATATCTAATGTCTTTGAGTACATATTAAAAACTGGATGAGTTACGCGAAAGGCGTCAGAGGAGTATGCTTACGCTGTGACCCTCGGACCGACAATGGTAATGAACAATCTAGAAGATCAACATTTACATCAATTGTTGCATTAATATGTAATGCCAGGATGCGGAAAACTTGTATGCGCAATCGAACGGTGGCAATTAATTCAACTACATGCAGCCATACACTAGGGGAGTTAATTTCAGATGCTGGTTTAGAGTAGCTTTTGGATCGGATAGCTATGGATCTAATTAAAGATACAAAAATGATATCCTTACAAAAACAATACAAAGAAGACTATAAAATGACATCAGTAAGAAGGAAAAAACAAAGAAAAAACTGAAAAAGAGAGAGAGGGAGAGAAAAATCACGAAGATGAAAGGTAAGAATTATCTTTATATATCTTCTTTATTTTTGTCTTTGTAAAAGTAGTACTGCTCTTAAAGATAAAACAAACACTGCGTCGTAATGCAATGGCTGATATGCAGGGATATCCTCCATATTAACTCGTGATATCGATTTTGACTATGAAGACCACATAACTTGTCCATGTCTGCAATAATTGTTGGAATATGCCAGTATACTTCATTTTATTTATGTAAAATCAATTAATAATTTAATATTAAAAAGTATTTACAATTATTAGAAAGCATTTATTTATTTTTAGATTTTTGAAAGAAACCCTATAAAAATATTGAGAACTCAGAACTCCCCTATTAAAGAGCGCATATAATACTGGTCAATGTCACAGAGTTAATAACATTTTCATCCTTGAGGTTTAAAGAAAATATTTGTAGTCCAGTTAAATCTGAAAATCCCATTCTAGTCCTTGTCAGACTGTCAGTGTAGACTATTAAACTAATGCTTTGATATGAAATGGCTATTGGCCTATTACAACCCCATTTGTCTTAAATATGTAAAATACAAAACTATGAATCCCTACCTTCAATAACAACACTAAAAGAATTCTCATATAAAATTTTATTTTATAATTTAATGTCCTTTATTTTTTTTCTTTTTTTTGTTTAATTCTATTTTTTAATTTTTTTAAATTAAAAAGTATTTTTTAAATTTCATTTTATTATTCTTAGAACATGTAAAATGACAAACATACCCTTATAGCGTTTGAAATTTTCTAACTACAGAAGTCTAAGAGGGACTATAATAACTTTTCCAAATTTTAATGGATCAAATATTTTATTCAAACCTGAGGGATGGAAATGTTATTAACTCCAATGTCACACGACGGAAGGGTGAATGACATTTTCCGACCCGAAGTCTGACGAATCTACATTTTCCGCCCTTAAACTTTGAAAAAAAAAAAAACATTTTCCCACCATTGTTAAACTTCAAACGTTAATTTTAACAGTCAAAGAGCATTATCATCAACATGGACAATAAATTTATTTATTTATATATTGTTGAACTAACCCTATTGTCTCTCACCTAACACAACATAAAAAAGGAAACAAAGTACAAAAAGAATTTTCAAAAAACTCCAGCCCCCAAGAACACGACCACCCTGAGGCTAGTGAAGGACCACGCAATAGTCGATCGCTGGTTGGCCGTGATTGAAGAGGCCGAATCCGATCAAGCCGTGACCGGCGACACAGATCGCGGCTTGGCCGTGGCTGGCAATGCCAAATCCGGTCAAGCCGCAAAACCTATGCAGCAACCTCCACTTGTGGCAATGTTTTTGACTGTGAAATTCTCATTGGTCTGTGATTTTATTTCAAGCCGCGATGTGATGTCCTCCATCGGTGACCACCTCTTTGGTCGTGAATTTCTCCTTCGTTTGTGAATGTATTTTTGTCATTTTATTTCGTTTTTTATTATTGGTATATAACTTTGATGTTGAATGAGTTTGAGACGATAAAGTTTACGATTTTTGTATATAATTCAGCGGATGACGTAATTTAAACAACTCTAGAATATATAAAGGACAACAGAAATAATATAATAAAAACGAATAAGCGGGCCATATTAAAGAAAATAGGACCCAATCACATTACCTTTTTTTTTAAAAAAAAATAAAAAATAAAAAATTATATATTTCTTAACAAATACAATAATGTTATACATTAATCAAACTTTGAGTGACAAAATATCATTCAGCCCACGACATAAAGGAAACAATCTCTAGAATATATATAGATGTCTTAATTGCGCGTGCTACATCTATACTTGTAATTAAATGATCATGTTTGTATGTATGTAAATTATTGACATCCACCTGTCATGAAAAAAGAAGAAATGCAAAAAAGACAAGAGTAATAATATAATAAAAACAATGTAGCGGGCCATATCAAAGAAAATAGGACTTATTATTCAAATTACTTTTTTAATTAAATAATTGTATATTTTTTAATAATTAATAAATACAATAAGTTTTTACACCTGAAAATATATGAGTGTATTTTACATTATCAAGTTTAGTACGAGTGTTTACATAATATACAGATTTACTGTTTCGTTGTAGCGTTACTTATTGTTGAAACCATTATAGTAAAGACTCTGATGCGAAGCAGTATAGATATAATTAATCCAAGTAATTAATTAGGGTGATATTAAGTAGAAATTAAAGCTAATCTCTAATGATAGGGTCGAAAGCTATATCTAAATCTTGTGTACTTGGGCCCCTACAAGCTTTATCACCGCAGAATCAAGAACAGTAACATCCATGTCGTCTTCTTCCAGGCACTACTATAAATTCTAGGTTTCGGCTCTGCGTTCTTCACAACATCACACCATCAAAAACCTTCTTTCATATCCCTTCCAAATTGAGCCCTTCCACTTTCCTCCTCTCTCTCATTACCATTGCCACTACCATTACCTCTGCATTGGACGATCCTTTGATCATGGAAGTTGCAGTGACGGATGGTGATGATCTTTTGAATGCTGAGCTGATTAAACGGGAATATAATAAAACATATGCTACAGAGGAAGAGGAGGACTATAGATTCGGTGTGTTTATGTCTAACCTGCGTTTAGCCAGGCGCCACCAAATGCTGGACCCGACTGCTGAACATGGTGTCAACCAGTTTTCTGATTTAACCACCTCAGAGTTCGCCCAACAATATCTCGGTCTCTTCGAGGCGGAACGGGAACTGTTACTCAAAGGCATTCCGGTAGCTCCAAATGTCTCCACTAACGCTCTTCCTGCCGCCTATGATTGGCGCCAGCACGGTGCTGCTACCTCAGTCAAAAAGCAGGTGCCTTTATATCTATATATATGAGGAGTACGTTATTTTATTATTAATCCCAACACAACGTATCGTAACTTAAACTTTTTGATAAGCAGGGGGGCTGTGGATCCTGCTGGGCATTCTCAGCAATAGGAGCTTTAGAGTGAGCGCATTTTTTGGCTAACAAGAGGCTTGAAGACTTGAGTGCCCAGCAGCTTGTAGACTGTGATCATATGGTGAGAAATATTAAATTATATTTCTTTTCACTCTCTTATTTTTTTTATTTTATAATAATAATTACTTATCACTCGTTTTTAAGAGTATAATAATTAATTAATTAATGTCATATAATTATGAAATTATATATCTTTTTAATTAATTTTACATTGCAAATGCATGTTTTGGCATTTTGCACTTGGCAGTGTATTCGGCGGTCTTCGACCTGTGACCGTGGGTGTAATGCCGGACATCCGCTTAGCTCCTTTCCGTACATAAAAAGTGCTGGGGGAATTGAGAAAGAGTCGGACTATCCGTACACTGGGAGAGTTGGTACCTGCAAATTCAACACCAACAAAACAGCTGCATCTGTAGATAGGCACGCCTTACTTCCCAGAGATGAAGATTAAATATCTGTCAACTTGGTCAAGTTCGGCCCTGTTTCAGGTAGATCTTATGTTAATTAATTAAATAATACTCATAAATTTTACCAAGTGAGTATGTTTAATTAATAAATGTCGTATATATAAATGTTGCAGTGGCTATAGACGTAGAATTCTTGAAAACATATAGAAGGGGATCTTCGTGTCCATCAATAAGCTGCCGTCCAGCTAATCATGCGGTACTGTTGGTCGGGTATACGTCTGACCGTCACTGGATCATAAAGAATAGTTGGGGAACTAAACATGGAGAGGAAGGATATTATTATCTCTTCAAGGGTCGTCTTACATGTGTGGTGAATCCTGCGGCTTTAATTGTCACTGCAACCAGAAAATTAACCTCTACATACCACCTCTGGAGGACCTGTGTCACTTATTAGTTAATTAAATAAATCTGGCACTGAATAAAATTCCAATAATCATGATTCATGATCATATCTGAGAGGAGTATCATGTTATTCCTCTTGCTGATCATATGTAAGTTAATTGTATCACGTGTGATAGAAGGACCGATTGTACGTTTTATTAAGAGTATTTGGCTAATCAACAAAGCATGATCAGCCTGATGGCTTCTATTATATTATACATGATGATATTAATACCAGCAATTGCATGCAAGAATATTATATAAATAACTCTTCTTCTCCTAAACGTATATGTTTATAAGTAGGGTTTATAATTCTCTTCTAATTAAACGTATCACTGTGCAAATGCATAGACAATTTGTTAGCTTGATGATATCCTCTATAACGGGAAATCATCTGGTACATAAGTATGCCGACGCCATGTCCTCCATGCATTTACTAAACGATGATAGTTAATTTAATTAACATATGCATGGTATGCAATCTCAGCAATGTAATATTATTGCTCTGAACACAAAAATACCTCCTTTTACTATGAATTAACCATTACCTTCGCTGCGGTTAGAAAAAGGCATAACCGATCTGTTTTTTTTTTTTTTCTTTTTTTTCTTTTTTTTCTCTCTCTGTT